GTGTGGAATACATATGGGAGATTAATGGATAATATCGGTTGGGAGAGCTGGTCTAAAAAGGTTTCGTCAATGGTTACTAAGATACCTCTACAACCTAAAATATGTGATGTAACTCTTAGCAATATGGTAGATTTCAGTTTGTCATGCTATGGATCTTTCTAAGACAAACCATGTATATATTTATTTTCTTATAATGTGTGATTTGGCTTTATTTCTCAAGCTCATGTTCTACTTCGTACTTGCCTATTTTGCTCCTAGCTGATCAAGTCGACAATACTTGTAGGATCCCAATATTAGATATGAAAAAGTACATAATGAGACCATTTACCTTTGGAACAAGGTAGTTACAATTAATCATGACTATTGGATGTGAAATTAGGTGGCTGTATTTATTTTTTTGATCAAGCTCAAAGTTCAAAAGAAATTTTTTCGAACTTTATGATATACCCAAGCTATCAAAATTTATATAAGATGGTTGTGAGTAATTGTAACCTCCGTGTACAAAAAGTATACAATCCCATTGGATATTTTTGTTTCCACATCTAAAGGTTCTTAAATTCGAACCCATCACTATAGAAAGGACGGTCAATTTCTATGCTTGAAAATAGGGTCTTAGAGTGCACAAGTAAATGGGGCATTAACTTTCGCGTTAATGCTCGAATCATACTACACCAAAATTTTGATGAGGAAAGGAGGCACTTTAGGCATGCCAACTACCCTGCAATAGAACCCATAGTTGATTTTTGATATGGACCTAAAGAAGAGTATTCTTTGACTCATGACTCATCTCGGCCAAGGCATTTGGCCCTTAGATGAGGCGAGTTACTCGGTCGAGTTTGAGTGGACTTGCCTGAGTCATATTCAAGGCCAAATAATGCGCTTGGTTGAACTACATAAAAAATCCAAAAAGAAAAAGGAATTTTTTTTAAAAAAATTCTTATTGTGAAGTGAAATTAATGAATTAAAAGATAAATTGAGCAAAAAGAATGTGTATACAAAAAAGAACATACACAGCTTCAAAATGAGTCCAATTTCATGAAATTTGAGTGAGAAAATGATGAAAAATCAAGAAAAATGCAGATTGGGTTCAAGAAAACTATGTTCTTCAACAAGCCCGAGATTTTTGAGCCACATCTATCAATATTGCTATAATCAAACAAATCAAAATATAGAATGTGTAGAGGATTCATATAGCTACATATTAAACCTGATTTCTAAACAATTGAATGAGTAAACGAAAAAAATCGAGAAGAAAGCAGACATGACTCAAAAATATGAACAAGGGCATCATATTCTTCAACATATGGAACATTATAGAGCAAAATATTTCAGTTTTTTTTTTCTATAGTTGAATAAATCAAGTTCAGGAATTCCTAGAGGACTCAAAGAACTTCACGACCTAATTTCAAGAGATTTGGATGAGTAAACTATGAGATGTCTAGAAGAAGACCGAAATGGCTCAAGGACATAGTGTTTGTTGCAAAAAAGCTCTAAAAAAGCGATGGATTTAATCCAAATCAAAGCTTCTATTGATTGATTTGGTGATCTGGTATGTTTTTACAAACATCAAAACCCTTTCTAAATGTTGGAAAAACACAGTCCAACGGCCAAAGCGGAAGCAAAATAAAACAATCGGAAGCTGGGTATCATACCTAAATACTCATACAACAGTTTTAACGAACGAATGTGGAGATAAATGATCAACTCATATATGTACGTTTGATAACTACTAGAGCTGCCGAAATCTGTTTCACACCATAAATCTCGTACGTGGTAGAAGCTCATGAACACTCTCACAACTGCGATAGAAGTAGTACAAGCCCAACGTTTTTGATAACTCTTTATCTCTCAAGGCTGGATCTCTCCTTAGATCTCAAATGAGAGAGGTATTGTACTCTCTCTCACTCTTTCTGTCTTTTCTCAGTAGTTTAGATCTCACATTTGCTTGTGTATGTTGTAGTCTTGTAGAGACCTCCACCTCTTCTGCTTTTATAATAAAAGAGAAAGGGTCATCTCACTTATGTGGGTGTAACCCCCTCATAAATGGGCACCCTTGTAATGCATGGTGCATGCCATTTAAAAATAATAATCGAACCAATAATGTAGCTCTGCTTGCCAAGATGCCTGCAATATTGCATGCCAAGAATATGACTTGCTAAGACTCCCGAATTTCTTACTACTGGGTCGAGTCCTAAAATACTTACCTGAGTATTGTGCACCTCCCTCTTTCCAGGGAGGCGTACGATCATCTCATCCCTAATTGGCTATAGGCCAAGGCAGTGTAAATCGGACGAGTCACCAGACATTGCTTATGAAGGTGCTTTGTTTCGTACCCTTCCAATCATTGTGCGAGGCCAAATCTGTTCGCAAAACAACAAAGACTCGGGACGATCCCTAAGTTAACCTTCAGAATTGCTAGGGCCAATCTGCTAATTTGGTTGAGTCACGAGTCAGCCCAACAATTTTGTAGTCCAGCAAATATCTCTTTATGTTTGGAGTTATGTTAGGGTACTCATACGTTTAAGTATTTTATGTTTGGAGTTATGTTAGGGTACTCATACTTTTAAGTACTTTCTTAAGAGTCATTTGGGTACTAGGATACATATTATCTGTGGAATACATTACTAGCACAATATATTATTAGAATAATACATTACCTGGAAATGAATTGTTGTTATTTGGGTAGTATTTGGATACATCTTGTGAAGTACGTTGCTATTGTTTGGCTACATCCAGAAAAATTTTGAGAAATATATTATTGTAATTTTGGCTTGAAAATATTGCATAAAATTTTCCTATAATAATGTGATTTTTTTTGTACAGTTCTTAATATTTTATCTTTTAAGATAAAATATCAGTTGAAACTAAACCACTGTATTCAGATACAAATCCCATAGAGGTGGCAACGGGTCAGGTTGGGTCTGGGTCCGGTTAGACCTAGACCTAGATCCGAAAAAGAAATGGGACCCAAATTCCACCAGACTTGATTGGACTTGGCCCAAAAAAAAGTAAATATGAAAATATTTAAATGTTATATTAAATATACACATGTATTATTTCAAAATTATAAATAAAAATATATAATTATATTTATTTAAATATTAATTAAATATTATTACAATATTGTATATTAAATATTATACAATAATATTATTTGGGTCGGATCCGGGTCGGGTCCACATGGACCCAAACCTGGACCTAAGAAGTGTTATCGGTCCAATATTTGGATCCGAAACCGACCCCCTGGGTCCAACTCTTAACCCATACCCAGACCCAGGTCAACGTTGAGTTCCGGGTTGGCACCAGGTCTGGGTTCATTGCTGTTCCTACAATCTCAATCCACATTCTTCTTATAGTGCAATAACAAAACTGGGCCAGTTAGCAATGACCCCACTCATTTCAATCTAGCCCCCTTGTTGAAAACCCCAAAATGCCAAGGTTGGTGAAACACAAAATGACCCAATGTATGCATGAGAGAGGACAGATACCAATGTATGCATGAGAGGGGACAGATATTTTTAGCAGATCGAGAGAGGAAGGGTGTTTTTAAGCAGGCCTTAAGTGAATGACGTGGAGTTTATAATTTAGGCTGGTCCGTGGGTAATCGATTTCTTAGCCTCTAGACGTGTAATCAATTTCAGGATTTTTGAAACGAGTCACATTTTCATTTCCTGTATACTATATGCATACCCAAACGTAAGAAATGGTAAATCTCCTTGTAATCCATTATCTCATAATGGTAATACAGGTACCCATGTAATTACCTAAAATACCTTTAGATAAAAAAATTACTACATAATATATAAGGGTATCAAATATTAAAAAATATTGAGTGCTTTAAGGAAACACTTATGAGTATCCTAACATAACCCTTCTGTTAATAATTCTCAAATGAGAGATATAGAGAGAAGATTTGGGTGGTAAACTTGGATTTTCAATCCAGATTAAGGAGGAGCCTATCTCGACATGTTGGGACTGCTTATAGAGGTTAGTTATTGGTTTAATGACTTAATCAGTGATTAGGACCAATTAAATGTACAACCTTAAAACATGGTGCTGAAATCTACATGACAGTTGGACCATAACATATTATGTATCTTATTTGATTCAATTTCCCAAGTAAGTTCATCAATCTTTTGATCAAATTTCAAACAAAGCAATCGGAATTTTGAAATTTATCATCACCAGTTAGAACGTTAAATTACCTCAACCTATAGGTACCGTATAATAAATTCCTCCATTTTTTTTATGTGCTTTTCATGCCATAGATATATTATTTTGCACTTCACAATAAAAAATTTACAATTTTAGTTGTCAGTAACCCATTTATAATTTTGTTTCGCTTTACTCCCAGTATATGATTTTTTTTCATATTCTTTTGGAGCCCTTTAACCACACAAGTTCAAAGTTCAAAGGATAAATGCAGGTTAAACAATTAGTTTCAACTTTCAAGTGATTGAAATCCACCAAGAGAGAGAGGAAATGATAAGAAATTCAAATAACCTTTTGGATCTGGTTCCCTTCAAGATTGCTGGTTATCACTGCAACTTTCACACCAGGTCATTCATTCATATCTGATTTTTCTTCATACTCTTTTGGAGCCCTTTAACCACAAAAGTTCAAAGTTCAAAGGATAAATGCAGGTTAAACAATTAGTTTCAACTTTCAAGTGGTTCAATTCCACCAAGAGAGAGAGGAAATGATAAGAAATTCAAATAACCTTTTGGATCTGGTTCCCTTCAAGATTATTGGTTCTCACTGCAACTTTCAGAACAGGTCATTCATATTAAGTAATTATATCCTAAACAAAACATCATTAGGGTAACACACAATATCCCCACACCTTTCTATCATCCTCGACCATCACATATGAAATTCACCCAATATTAAAAATGTTACAAAGTTCGAAAGATTTTCTATTATTTCTAACAAATAACACATACCATCTCCCCGAGTCTCTCCGATTTCACATCAAATGGCCAAGAATTACCACTACCTCCTTGTACTAAAAATAAAATCTTTATTATATATGTTTTCAAAACTCAAACAAGCCTAGCAATACTATCAGTGGGTATAACACCAGCACCACCTCCCATCTGATCCCTCTTCCCCATCCTGCCTGCTATAAACCCACCAAAGCAAATTAGAGAGAGAATTCCCATCATCATGCCCCGTCAACTTCCCAATCTTCTCTAATGCCTTCTCTCTCTCATAAACCCCTTCCAGAGCATACACAAAACCCTTCCACCCCTCTCCAACCCCTTGTCTCTCTAGAGCAGGCATTGCCCAGTCCACCAATTCTCTCACAAAGCCAACATCAGAGAACACCACCTCAGTCACAGGCAACAATGGTAGCACCTGAATCCCAAGCCTACACTCTCTCCACTCTGGTGGTGCAAACCACAAACCCGCATCTCTCTTATTAGACCACAACACACCCACAACCCTGTTTTTCTCATTAAACTCCTTCTCATACATTCCTCCTCTTTCTCTCACATGCCACCATGTTTGAGCAGCTCGAATCTCCATGGCAGTGAGGGTCGACCCGATTGAAGCCAATTGCCCATCTCCATAGGCCAATCCAAGAAGAGAAGCGGAGTAATAAGCGTTAATGGCTTCGCTTGTGCTCTCTTGGTTTCGGCCATCTGCGAATTCAGTGAGCCCGCCTGCCCAAGAGTGGAGCTTCCATAGATCGAAATTTCGAAGCTTTGGGTACCCAAATTGATGTGAGAGGCTCATGAAATCACCTACAATTGAGTAAGCTTGAGGCCTGAACTTTCTACCCCAAATTGGATCAAGCTTTGCAAGAACAGCAATGGCATAAAGAAAGTAGCCCAAATGGTAATGGTGGTCATTGTATATTCCAAATCCAAAATCAGCTCCAGAGTCTGATGACCCAACTTTGCTAACAATTCCACCCCATTTCGGATCATAAAGGAATGAATTCCCTGCAAAGTTACCTTCGAGCCACGGAGTAATGGAGTCTTTTAAGAATTGTTGAATAGTTGGAATCACCGAAGGCAATTCAACTTCCTCTGCAATCAATGCTAATCGAGCAGTCCGAGCAATCGCTTTTCCATAGAAATATGTGGAACTAGTCGCAGGCAAGCCTTGTTTTAGGCCTTCGACATCTTGTTTCAGAGCTGAAACTATAGCTGGGATTGAGGATTCAGGGTTTTTGATACCACCAATTGAATGCCAGTTGATTGGAATTGGATCGGTTCTCAACACCCATGAATCACCAGAGACTCCAATTAGGTCTCCATCGATGCTTCGATAAGAAAGCCCTGGTTCAACGGTGGCTTTACATTCATTGGAGAGAAGTTGCAGGTGTAGGGGATGAGCGAGAAGGAGCAATTCACCCCATCCCTTCTTCTTCCATTCATAAGAGAGAGTAAATGGTTTTGAGAACACAGCTTTTCCAGAAAGAGGATAGCAAGAGCTGAACTTATCAAGGATCGGCTCGCTGGATGGGTCAGGCAAGAGAGCGATCCTTATGATCCCTGTGAAATTGCAGACCGTGAGATCATTGGCTAGAGAGAGAGAGGAAGAGGAGTATATCACCCATGTCTGGTTATTGTTCAGCTTCACTACATGTTTCGTCGAATGATTCGACGAGGTGACGCTCAAAATGGCATTTGAGGAGGAAATGGTGAATTGGGTATCCGAAGAACGAATCAAACAGGTGATATACGGCGACCCACGAACCAGAGGAAAGACCAGACCTCCTGGTAAGGCAAGAGAGAGAGAAAGGTCATCAAAAGAAGTGATTTCATGGTGAACAGTGAGAGAGAGAGAAGAAGAAGAAGAGATTGTGATATTGGGTATGAAGACCTGGTATATGAAGTTGGGTTGGACAAAGCGCGAAGGGTAAGAGATAGAGAGAGAAGAATTTGAGGATTTGACGAGATAAGGGTGCATATATTCAGGTTGGTCGCCATTTTTGAGGGCAAAGTTTTGCCAAAAGGTGTTTGTGGGAAGAGGAGGGTTTCGGATTTGGGGGGAGAAAAAGGGAGGGGGATCAGGAAGAACAGCGGATTGGGTTTCAGGGAAGAGAAAGGGCCGGAATTTCGCCATCGGGGTTTCGGTTTCGGTTTCGGATTCGGATTTGCTTTTGCTTTTGCCTTTGCCTTTGCCTTTGCGAGTGAGGAAACGCTTGAGCCTGGCTAGGGATTCCAGTTTTTTCATCATTTTATAGAGAGAGAGAGCTAGGGATTTTAGTTTTTTCAACATTTTTTTAGAGAGAGAGAGCTAGGGATTTAAATTTTTTCAACATTTTTTTAGAGAGAGAAACAGAGTTTCAGCATTTTAGAGAAAGATGGGGTGTAGAATTGGGGAGAGAGGGTAGAGAGAAGGGGGAGTAAAATTTGGGAGGAGAGAGAGAGAGAGAGAGAGAGGA